CAACATGGCCAAGATCATACAGCTAGTTGGGTTAGATCTTTCAGGTTCTCCCAAACCCTCTGACCATGACTGTGTCTTTGAAGTCGTTACATCTCTCTATATAAAACCCTAATATGTAAATAGACCGAATGGTGGGACAACTGGTCACTATGATGTGCAATGACTACCAGGGAGCACATGTGGAACATGGCAGGAATCGGCAACAACGCACAGAACATGGCAGGAATTGGCCAAGGTGGGATAGTGGAGCAGGTGGGGGGGGGGGGGGGGGGACATGCTCCAGACCAAGATGGGGTGCCAGTCGCTGTCATTGGGGCAAGCCTCTGGTAGTTACTGAAAATTATTTGCTCCCACACACCATAGTCCTGCCCAGGGCTTGCACCTGCTGCCAGCACCCAGCACCGGCCCAGACTGCTCAGCACCATCAGCAGGTGGGAGCAGCGGCTATCAGCCACCATCACCCCTGAGGGCTTCTCCACCTCCCCCTGCTCCTGAGGGGCAATCAGGGCAGCAGCCACGCTCACACTCACTGCCAGCACCGGCCCCACTCACACCTGGTGCTGGCGCGGGCCCCAATAGCTCTGTGCCCTCAGTGGGTGCGAGCAGGGCCAGCGTTATCAGCACGTGGGAGTGGCAGCGGCAGGAGCAGGGCTACCAGCAGAGAAGGGACCAGGGCCGCAAGGGCAGGAGCGCGGAGGATGGGCCAAGACCCATCCTTGTGCCCATCGCAGCCTCGCGGCCCACTGTTCCTTTCAAGGTGCACAAAGTCATGCACTGGGCCCCTAGTTGTTTCATATAATTCTATCTTCTCCACTAAACTCTCTAAGTGCCTTGAAGGTGAGAACTTTTTCTTAATTATTACTTATCCTGGTTTTCACTCAGTAGTTGCTGATTAGATGTTGGTTGGATGGATGGATGAATGGATAGCCAAAAAATGAATACAAAACCAATGAGGGAACTCAGTTGAAGTCTGTAAGGGCAGGAGTATTTTTCATTGAAGGTTACACCTTGGGTTCACATGGACTCCATTTAACAAACCCCTGAAACTTCATTCTTTTAAAAGACACTTGTGAATCCTGCCATAAAACAAACAGCTTTAACACTTTTCAAGCAAATTAAAGTAATAATTCTTAGATAAGAACATAAACTTTTTTTTTTTTTTTTTCAGTTCAGGAAGAGAGCTATATTTTGCTCCAAAAGAACTCAAGAAGTTAAAATTTAATTTGTTTGCTAAGGAAGATTTGCCAAAACGAATTATCTCTTAATGGAAACAAGCTACTGGGGCACTGTTCTCTCCTCAAGCAACAGTTCGGTGCAACCTACTGTAAAATTAAGCAGAGAGAAAAGGGCAGTGCTCGGGGGAGTTTAACACACTCCTTCTAACAGTAAAATTGGACCAACGTGGTAAGCAATTTACCTTTCTGCTATAAAACCAATAATAAGCTAGAGTCATCAGGGCCATAGTGATTTTTAAGAAAATCCCTGTCAGGTGCAATGCAGATTTGATCAGGCTCTTGTTCCTTATCTGAGGGGAACAGCAAATTCTCATTTGTACTATGACTAAGCTTTTGAAGACTTCTTTATCCACCAAGAATCCTATAAGAAATCCTATAAGAATAAACCCAGTAAGATAATAAATGCTTCACCTGACGCAGGGTGGTTTAATGTTATTATTGGCACTCTGAATTCTTAATGCTAAATTAAGATGAAAATCCTTCAAAGAACAGAATGCTGAAGAAGCCAATAAATGAGTTACATTTATAACAAAAGGTTCATGGTTACTTTTATACTACTAGAAACCGATTTGGCCGTAACAATAAAGGAATTCTACTCTTAATACACACTTACAATCAAGCATTTTGCCTAAAACCCTTGCCACTAAGTCGCTGGGGGAAATGTTATAGGTTACTATCGTACACACTTTCCAAAACTTGGCTGGGTGATACTCTTTTCAGGGCTAGGCCTAACTTTGGGATAAAATAAACAATTAAACATAGAACAGTTATAAAAATTGACCACAAATAATAATAATAAATTACAAACATAACAGAAATATGATCTGCTCACAATGCAATAAAAACTAGAAATTAAAAAGCAAGGGGCCATTTCCATCTATCAGAATGGCAATGATGGACATGGTAGACGCTAAGCTGATAAAGGTTTGGCACCAGCGGGCCCTTTCCTATACTGCTGGTGGGGAGCACTAACATCCTAGACTGAGGCAATTCATCCCCTTTCAAAACTACAAAAGCTCGGACTAGCGGTTCCCAAACTTGCTTGCACTGCATCACCTGGAGAACTCAACATACCTGGTGCCTGTGTCCAGCCCTAGAGGTTGGATTTCATTGGCCTGGGCTGGGCCCTGAAACTTACACTTTCCAGAAGATTCCCCAGAAGATAACTAATGTGTAGACGAATTGTGAGCTTATATACCCTTTGTTGAAGCAAATCCAGTTTTCATTATTTATGCAACACATACATGTTCACACGTGGTGAATGATCTATGGCATTAATTATAGCATTGTTTTGTAATACCAAAAGATTAGGAATACAAAAATGTTCACCAAAGGGGGCTCGCTAAATAAATGCTGGATATCCATCAAGTGCAATATTACGTGTCTCTCTGGAAGAGGTGAGAAGTAGAGAAGTATGTGAATTACATCTCACTATTATAAGCTGTTCTGTGTGCTTGAAGAGGTGCAGATGGCAGACAGCACACTTATCTATGGAAAAATTAACACACGGTGGGAAAAGTAGCCATCGCTTAGGTGAAAGTTTGCTTTTCTCTGTGTCCCCTTTCAAATGCTGGCATTGGTAATGTGCTATGTGTTAACTCTCTAAAAATGTATTTTAAAAATTAACATGACATAGAAAATCGACCAGGTCATATCACCATCCAGCCAACAGAATTTATAAGCCAGCATCCCCGGGGGCATAAGGGAATACTTTGGGATGACACAAATACTTATCTTTAGCATGGTGGCGGCTGCACACCGTATGTGTTTGGGGAAATAGACCTATCTTCCTAAAATGAGTCACTTTTGCCGAAACCAGGTTGGCTCAGTGGTAGAACATCAGTCTGCGGACTGAAAGGTCCCAGGTTCGATTCCAGACAAGGGCATGTACATTGGTTGCGGGCACATCCCCGGTAAGGGGTGTGCAAGAGGCAACTGGTCAATGTTTCTCTCTCATTGACTTTTCTAGCTCTCTATCTCTCTCCCTTTCTCTTTGTAAAAATATCAATAAAATATATTTTTTTTTATTTATTTTTTATTTTTTTTTATTGATTTTGTACAGAGAGGAAGGGAGAGAGATAGAGAGTTAGAAACATTGATGAGAGAGAGTCATCGATCAGTTGCCTCTTGCACAGCCCCTACTGGGGATATGCCCGCAACCAAGGTACATGCCCTTGACCGGAATCGAACCAGGGTCCCTTCAGTCCCCAAGCCGACGCTCTATCCATTGAGCTAAACCGGTCCTGGCTAAAATATATTTTAAAAAAATAAAATAAAATGAGTCACTTTTACTCTATGTAGAGCATACCTTGAAAACCTGACTTTAAAAAAAAAACACACAAAAAAACACTTTTTTAAAAAGACAACCTGACCTCTCGCACAATGCTGTGAGGAATATAAATAAACCGGTTTGGAAAACTGCTCTGCTCTTGACCTCTGGAGCCGCACTCAAAACTGAGACGGGACAACTCCCACATTAATGTCCAGCTCCATGGGAGGAGGCCCCGGGACAGAACGGGGGATCCAGAAAGAGCCCTGCCGCGGTGGAGGTGGCCCAGTGGTGGTTGGGGAGTAATTAATTTGTTAACAAAACTGGTCAGGTATCTTCGTGCTCAAAGTTGATCTTGCCCTTTCAAACCGCTACATGGAATTGTGTACTACGGCTATAATATTAATTGAAATTTTTTTCTCATTAAAAAAACTAATTGCCCAGGTGGAAATCCGTGTGCCACAAGGCACAGGGATAATGAATTAGGTGCCACTGTGTGTTGCCCTTCGGAAATGAATGGGGCTGCTCACAGCAGACGCGAATGGCCTGAGGGCTGCCTCCGCCCAGCACTGCAGACGGCCCAAGGGCCAGAGCATCTGGTACCGCTCGCTGTGAGTCAGTTCCACTGTGCCTGGTGCACTGACACACCCATATTGTATTGCCTCGTATTGTACTGAACGGTTTATTAAGTCGCTGGGGTATTTGCAGACTATTACTTTGGGCCAGACTTCCCCCAGGATGGATTCTCTCTACAGACAGTCTTTCTTGTTCACAGGTGACCTTAGTGATGGGGTGCACTACTGTGTAGTACAGTGGTTATCAACCTTTCTAATGCCTCGTCCCTTTAATACAGTTCCTCATGTCGTGGTGACCCCTAACCATAAAATTATTTTTGTTGCTACTTCATAACTGTAATGTTGCTACTGTTAATGAATCGTAATGTAAATATCTCTGTTTTCCGATGGTCTCAGGCTCTACAGCAACAGTTCTCAATGTGTGGGTGTCGACCTGCCTGGTTTAGCTGGATAGAAAACAAAAGGAACAGAGAACCTAAGACCATCGGAAAGTTCCCCAAATCTGGCATCATTGCACACAGTATCTTCAATAAAGAAAAGCTCCCCATCACTCCCCACAAGCATACCATGGCGGAAAGTAACAGTCTGAAAATACCGCAGCAACTTAATAAACCGTTCCGTACAATATGAGGCAACAACGATTGACATTTTAGAGGATTATGTGTTAGTTTTTTCTCTTTAAAGAATTTATAATTTTAAAGCATCAAAAATGCCACAGGATGCCAACTCCGATAGGGGATAAAACGATGACAAGACCCCAAACAGCATAAGTGACCGACGTTAACAAACCATAAAACAAGAGAAATTACCACTCCGGCAACTCAAGCGTTAGACTTGCAGAATCTCATCATCTTTAGTGTTTGCAGGACACATAAGTGCATCCTGTAGAGGCGGAGCGAGAGACAGGCCTGGGGTCCGTACCTGGTGAGGGCGGGGCTGTGCGCGGTCATGGCCACCAGCAGCTTCAGGGCGTAGGCCGGGACCGGGCCGGGCTCCGTGAGAACGTGCTCGTACCTGGAAGGACAGGGGATGGGAGAAGCACTCAGCAATGTGCCTCCTGAGACTCTCCTCCCCACACAGAAACAAGATGCTGCAGGTGCACAGTCTGACGGAGCACAGATGCCGAAATAAAGGTCCAGGCTCCCAGGTCTGCGCTGGCCAAGGGGACGAGGACACTGCCCGCCTCCCAGTGTTGTGGAAGTTCAATGAGACAATCCACTTGGAGCCGTTAGGACTGAGCTGCCCACACAGCAGGGAACGTTAACATTAGGCGGATGCTTAAGTGTTGGATGGATGGATGGATGGGTTGATGGACAGGGTTGATGAACAAACTAACTAACCAATCAACTGTGACTTAACTATCTGGAACCACCACCAACTTAGAGGCAGCTATCTATCTCCAGAAAATCCAAAATGTATCTTTAAAAACCCATGACACGAAGCAGATGCTGCTCATGGAGAGAATGGGCCCCCAGCTTATTCACAGCCTGTTCGCTCTCACGTTGAAAATCGTTATATAATATAACAAGCCTAGTTAAGCAGCCCCTGAGCCCACAGCCGTTAAAAAGGAGCCACGTAGCGGGAGGAGAGGGGAGGAACCGGGACAGAAAGGCAGCCTCAGAGGTACAGCCAGGACTTGAACGCCCAGAAAAAAACCAGAGAGCAAACCCGGCCTCCACACAGGGGACAGGGCATCAGGCGCAGATCATGGCAATGAAAAGATTTGCCCATGTTGGACAGATGAGACACAAAATACCAGATCATTCATAACCAAGTCATAAACAAAATATTAAGAGATCAAAGGAGAACTGTGTATTTAAATGAGTAGCACAACCAAGCATAATTTTTGGAAATGAAATTAGGAAATTTTTGAAAAACAATACATTTTATCACATGAATAAACAAAAATCAAAGAAACTTTTTTAGAAGTGATAAAATGCACCTGACATCTGAATTGAAAAAAAAAAAAAAAAAGAAAGAAAGAAAGAAAGAAAGAAAGAAAGAAAGAAAGAAAGAAAGAACGAACTCAGCACACTAGAGAGAAATCATTTTTCCTTTCTGGAATAGTCTTACAAAATACAAAGCCCTGTCTGGCTGGCATGGCTCAGTGGTTTAGGCATCAACCTATGAACCAGGAGGTTATGGTTCAATTCCCCGTCATGGCACATGCCTGGGTTGTGGGCTCCATCCCCAATAGGGAGCATGCAGAAGGCAGCTGATTGATGTTTCTCTCTCATCGATGTTTCTCTCTCTCTCCCCCCGCCCCTTCCTCTCTGATATCAATAATAATATATATTTTTTTAAAAAGAAAAAGAAAAACACTGAGGAAACATTACTGACCGAAACACAAAGGTGTTGAGGTTGTGTGAGGTTGCCTTGAAACAGGAGGGAAGAAGGAAGTCTAAATCAGCCTGTGCATGAGAATTTTTGCAAAAAATATTCCTATGTTTTTCTCCCCTCGGAAAATGAAGGGTGAAATTCACAGCAGACATGTTCCGAATACAAATATTGAGTATTTTGGATGTATTTGAATCAAAGGAAGGTTTGTAACAGGCAGCAAGAACTAGCCAAAACGACGCTGTGATTCATTACGTTTGTCTTCCAAAGAGAGATAAAGCAGCTGGACTGGTAATAACTGGACCTCACGCTCTTCTGAATGCCACTTGGCAGGAAAACACAGATACAAAACAAAGATAAGCTCGGGCTCTTGGAAGGGCTTCGCGGGAGGTCGGCCAGCGAGAAGCTGCCCACCTGACAGACAGGCCCTGGGGAGGAGGACGCCACGGGCATGGGCCCGGCCAGAGTGAGAGCTCCGTCCACATCAGAGCACACTGTCCAGGAGGTGGCCCAGACCCCACTCTCCCACTTTTAGGGTCCTCCCCAAACCAAGGGCCTTTGCTAGGTCCCAAACAGCTGAAAACAGGCAGGACAAGCCATGAATCCTAAATTCGCATCTACCCCAACGGAGAGGAAGCATCCGAAAGTCACCCAAGGGATGGACTCTTTCCTATCTTGTCAAGTACCTGGAGCAACCAGCGCCCAGTTAGACAGGCTGCAGGAAACTAGCCCCGCCTGTGTGGATAACTCGGAATTACTGAGAAGCTGTTCTGGGGACGTAGCCCAGGAATCGGCCACGTAGAAAGAAGAACCTGCTTCGCTGGGTAGGGGGCCTGGGGTCGGGCAGAAGCACCGTGTGATAAGGATCCACTCCGCTGGGATCGAGCCACAGACTCACGTTTCACATCCCATGAAGTGGACTCTGAGAATTTGGGGGGAAAGAGGGAGTCTAGATTGTCCAAGAAACTCTAGGGGAAATAACAATGAGGAAGATTCTAAATAACAAACTAAAATACTTTGCAAAACCGTGCTAATTATTACCTAAAGGGAGAGATCAAGAATACAATGTAAATTAAAAGGAAGGAAGGTGGCAACACTGGACAAGAAAGTAATCTTATTGATAGAAAGGGAGTGGCAAAGAACGGTCAGGCTACGTCTTATAAAAGTGCATTGGCAATAAATAAAAAATCTAAGCAAAAAATTTGTAAATCTGTAAATATTTACCATGCGTAAATATTCACATTTTCTTGGGTGAGAAGACCTTTATAACATAACAACAAATGAGAAGTGAATGAAAAAGCTATTGAGAAATATATATATATATATATATTTCTCAATAGCAAACCACCATAAATAAATCACAAGAGGAAAAATTTTTTGCAGAATGTTGGTAAAACAAAGAGTTGATATTCTTAAAATATAAAGAATTATTGCAAACCAATAAATATCCCACCAGAAAAGAGGACAAAATCCAACTAAGAAGAGTATCAGTGGCCAAAAAGCATGGGGAGTGGAAATAATCAGCTTTCTAACATCCGAAGGAATGAATGCGAGTCCAGCTGACAAGGAAGAGCAACACAGGTTGTTTCACAAAGGAATGCTGGTCACGCAAGCTGGTCGTCATTGTTAAAAATTATTTGCCAAAACATATTCAAAAGCCCTTACCATGTATGTAACTATTGACACGGTGACTCTACACCCAGACATTCAACAAAATGAACAAGTCTGCACCGAAAGATGTAGTGCTGAAAATCGTCTTTGTAGCCATCTCTTTAATAGTGAAACACTGGGAAAGCCTAGATGATCAGGAACTGGGAGTGGTTTAAATGATTTCCAGTGCATCTATGAATGTAGGGGTAAGTAGATTACAAGATAGTCAAACACATATCTAGATAAACACATATACCTAGATAATAGATAGGCGATAGATAGATAGATAGATAGATAGATAGATAGATGATAGATAGATAGATACATACATACATACATACATAGATAGATAGATAGATAGATAGATAGATAGATAGATAGATAGATAGATAGATAGATAGATATAGATATTCCCAGTATGATGTCTGGGAGTAGGGAGTTCTAAGGAGAAACTTTGAAGAAGCACTAAGTAAACCTCACCAGAGATGGAGAAAACGTAGGGGAGTAGGCAGATGTTAACATGAAATGGTAGACAAGAAGCAAAACACTGAGTGTCTTGGATGGCTGCATAAGTACATTCATGTTACTTTTTTTTTTTAATATATTTTATTGATTTTGTACAGAGAGGAAGGGAGAGAGATAGTTAGAAACATCGATGAGAGAGAGTCATCGATTAGCCGCCTCTTGCACACCCCCTACTGGGGATATGCCCTCAACCAAGGTACATGCCCTTGACCGGAATCGAACCCTGGACCCTTCAGTCCCCAAGCCGACGCTCTATCCATTGAGCCAAACTGGTCTCGGCATGTTACTTTCTTCTTTTGTTTGTTTGGGGGTTTCTTTGAATCCTCATTTGAGGATATTTTTTCCATTGATTTTTAGAGAGAGTGGAAGGAAGAGGGAGAGAGAGAGAGAGATAAACACCGATGTTAAGAGATACATTAATTGGTTGCCTTCACATGCCTGATCAGGGCCGGGAGCCTGCAATCCAGATACATGACCAGAATCAATCCCAGAATCCTTCAGTTTTCTGGCTAACGCTCTATCCACTGAGCCAAACTGACTTGGGCTATTAAGGTTACTTTCTACAACCTTTACATGTAAAGGTTTCTGAGCAAGGGAATGACGGAGAAGGAAGACAGTGTGATCAAGTGTGTATCTAACAGCATGCAAGATGAAGCTGAGGCCCAAAGAGGGGCTGGAGATCTGAGGGTTAGATGGAGAACAGGCTCCAAACAAAGTGGGGAGGTGGCCTCTACCTTGGGGTAAGGCCAAGAGTTCCCCTGGATGCTCTGAGAAAGGGGTAGATAGCTTACTCTTTTGGACATTTGCTGTAGAATCTTCTCCAAAATTTTAAGTAGGTAACATCTTTAGTCAACTCCAAAGTTTTATAAAATGAGAGTGGGTATAAATCAAGTTAGTAGTCAATATTTTGATATATTTCCTGTCTTGTGATTTTATGTAGCCTGAGTTCTATATCACATTGCTGTCTTGCATAAATGCATAGATATTTAAGTAATGGATACATAAGTGAATGGAGAAATAGACATGTGGGTAGAAAGACTGACAGCTAAGTAGATATATATTTTTTTAAAGTGAAAAGACAGATACGACTTCAAAGTATTAAATTTTATTTCAGACATAAGCTCTCATCTCTTCTGAACTCTTCAATAAACTCAACAGCAAATTTTCATTATAAAGGTATGAAAGGCTAAGAAAAACAACTTCAAAAAAATCAATACTCAAGGTTTACAAATTTGGATAATTTGGAGTTAATAAGGATATTCTTTCATCCTTGATCAGAACAATTCTAGCATGCTAGTTCTCTGGATAACATTAGGATACTCCTTTCTGGTGCAAAAATATTTGACTTGTTTTATCTGCAAATAAATTTTTTCTAAGGAAAGGCTAAAAATTAACTACTCCCCACTATTCTGATTGCCATACAAGACAGCCAAGTTCATGCCTATGTAGACAGAGTACTTGTACTTAAGGGATGCAATACAGAACCATTGAATGTCCCCGAC